AAAATGTGTGCTTTCATCTTCCAAATCCTATCGCATCTTTCTTCCTGAGTAGCTGGTTTCACAATAATGAGAAATAATTTTAGATCATCTTAAATATCCTGTTAAGGGAAAATTATCAAAGAAGCCTTCTGTTTCTTATGTGCTTTTTATGTTTAAATCTCTTCTAAAGCATTTGAGATTTGCGTTCTCAGTGTATGTATCTTAGTTTGTAACAAAGAATTTTCATTTCATGTTTGCTTTTGCAACAAACTAATGAACATTAGTCACCATTAGTTGTTTAAAAGGAAGTGTTATTGTAGTGTTAGTGAGTACATTTTTCTAGCAAGAGAATTTCCAAGCTGGCTGTTGCTCTTCAAGAGGTTTTGAACAAACTGTTTTAAAAGTTCTTAATTAACCATGGTTTCTTGAATGTAAATCACTCTTGACAACTGAAATCCCTGTGGTTCAGGGGATTGTGAAGCAGACTTCACAACTGAAAAGGAAGGCTCATCATTCATAAATTTAGTATGTGTGAAAGGAGTAGAAGGCAACCAAGTGGAACTAAAACCACTTTTCAAATTATAAAAATAGATTTTGTTTGCTAGAGTAACCAATAAGATCAACACTGTCAGTTTTATAATAATGGATTGTATTGACACTACAGAGAGGTATCTGTGTTTACTATCTGTTTGTTTATTTTGCCTATAAAACCAGATTTTTAGTTATATTTTAGATTAATTTCCAGGGCAAATGCAAGACTAGTAACATGATGCTGTACTGACATTTGAAAAGTATGAAATATCTCTATTAATTTTAATTTTATGTATTAAATAGGGAAATTTTCCATGGACCTAAAGGGGTTCCCCCCTCCCCACAAATATTCCTTTATACATAGTTCACCAACAAATCATTTAAAGGTGAACTTTCAAAGCTTCTTGGGTTTGGGTATGATTTTTTTTAGGCCTGAAAGTTACCTACTTAGTCTGTTAGTCTTGTGAAAATTCTTATTAGTCCCAGTGGAACTATCTGCATGTTAATGTTTTGATAAGTTGGTGCCTCTTCAAAAGGTGCTAAAACATGGGCTGGTCTAAGAATTCTCTTCCTGGCATGTTGTATTTTACTGTGTCTCACTACTACGTGGTTCAGGTGTGTAGTGTGGAGCACATATTAACGGGTAGGTAGTGAACCCAGGATAAACCCCAGAGGCCTGCTCCTCTGCTTCTTTTAGTAGTGTAAATCATGCGACACTGACCTGAATAATTCAGCTTTCATCTGGCGGTAAACAAATATGTTAGTCCAGTATTTGTTGATCAAGTCTATTTTTTCTGTGGTGTCCATTACCACAGTCAGTGGTTTTAGGGCTGCCAGTTCCCACAGAGAAAGCTGCAGCCACCAGGTTTATCAGAGTCCTGCCCTAGAGAAGTTTCTGCAATTTTTTATGGATCTGGATAACAGAGCATGGACTAGACTGGGTTAGTCTCTTGGATAGTTCTGCTAGAACACAGATATTGGAGATGCATGGATGAGGATCTGGCTCCAGGAGATCTGCCCAGCAGGCATACAGGAGCTGAGGCAGGGAATTATGCTGAATGGGATCGGTTCTCGCACACATGGTTTTGAAGAGAGTCCGCTATAATCCTGCATTAGGTTTGGCAATAGAATGTGAGATCAGATGTTTAATTTAAAAATTCCACATATGATGAAGCAACTTTTTTTTTTTTTTTTTCACTGAAAAATCTCAAATTATTGCTTAGCAGCACATCTGCAGATCCCACATCTCAAGATATCACTAGGGTACTGGAATTTGTGGGTGGATTCAGCACAGACTTTCTGCATGGTATGACAGCACTGGCAGACGATCAGAGCTCATGTGTGCTGTCTTCAGGATATGTTCTTTTTTATACTTTGAGCTGACTACAAGTTCATTGCATGGCTTTAGGAATCCAGAAAAATGGCAAGAATCATAAATTGTCTCAGGTGCCAGTCCTTTATAATCTTAGAGTGTAATCTTTTACAAGAAAAGTTTTCTACAGTTAATGAAATTGATACTAAATAATGCAGTTGAACAGTGGAGATTCCATGTTAAATATTTTCAAATCTTTCAAAACAATTTCAATTCTGAAAGGGCTTGGTATCTATTTTTTTTCCTGTATTTTTCATCTATTTTCCTGGTGGAAGTGAGGCTTAAGCAGTTGCCTTTTTCTATACCTGTTTGTGTTCTTCATGTCTCACAATAACATCTGAACAGCTTTGCTGATTCAGTGGGACTTCACAGTTATTTTTGAGGGACTGCCTAAGGCTTAATGAAATTTGGAGCCAGATAATGGGAAAAGAGAGGCCAAGATAAAGACTACAGCATGAGCCTGTGTAAAAAAAAAAAAAAAAAAAAAAAAAATCTACAGTGGGAGAGATGCCACTGGAAAAGTTCTGTTCATGGTTTTTGACCAACTCTAAATTCAAAAGAAATGAGACTTCGTTAATACCAGTGCTCGTGGAAGTGCTGCTTTTCAAAGCAAATTGAGTCTACATTTGTGTTTTCCTCTAGAGTTTATCTTCAGAATTAAACTTCCTTGAACTTTGGCCTGTACTGCAGAGGTTATTTTTGTGTAAGCTGCATGCATGTACACTGTATTTTAAAATAGGCAACTATAGGGGTGTTGTGACTTAAGACCAGCTGGCAACTAAGCGCCATGTGGCTGCTCACTCTTCCCCCTGTGGTGGGATGGGGAGGAGAATCAGAAGAAAAAGGTAGAACCTCATGGGTTGAGATGCGGACAGTTTAACAGGACAACACAAGGAGAGAGGAAATAATAACAACAACAATAATACTAATAAAAGAATGTATAAAGCGAGTGATGCACAATGCAGTTGCTCACCACACGGAAGCTGATGCTCAGCCTGTTCCCAAGCTGCGAGCCCTCCTCCCCCTGCCAGCTCCACAGATATGTACTGAGCAGGACTCACAGGGTATGGTATATCCCCTTGCCTAGTTCAGGTCAGCTCCCCTGGCTGTGACCCCTCCCAGGTTCCTGTGAAAATTTACTATCTGAGCTGAACCTAGGACAAGGGGAAATAGCGCATTTAAAGTCAACTCTATTCAGCTTGCCTATTAGGTGTTTACATCATGCTATTTCACGTTACATCACAGGAAAATGTGACTTTTTTGGTGAAAGAAGAATCTATCCATATGGAGTGAGTGAATCTATAGTTTAACTGCCTTTCAAGTCCTACTAAGATCTGAAAAGATAATCTAGGTAGAACTTGATGTTTATCGATGATAAGGGTCTTTTATAAACACCTCTGAGAACGTTACATATAAACCCATTAGGCTGGTTCATAAATACATTGCAAAATATAGGGGGCCACGTAATCAACGCAAAGGAAGTATAGATGTAACCTCAAATAATTTTTGGTGTCAAAAGACACACACAAAATATTTTTATGTGTGAAAATACTTATTAGACAAAATAACTTGAAGCAGTGGAATAATTGGCATGTATTCAAATTGTGGTTAATTGAGTTCTTCATCTGTGGCTTAGAAAGCCACATGGGGTACAGATTCGGCATAGAGGAAGCAATTTTCATTAACAGGATATAATTTAGAGTGAGAAAACATATACACTCTGCCTGAAACACAGTTAATAATTAATATGGAATAAATACACAGACATATACTGAGTTATCATATTTCTACCTGTCACTCTGTAGAGTTTCAGCAACTCATTTGCATCCTAAGTAAGTATATTTATTCAGAGAGATGACACTGTAACACTACCTTCAAAAGTGGAGGACCTTTATGTCACAGCATCAAAAATGAGTCATCCTTGTTATTAAAATGGCAAAGTGAGATCAGAATGGTGATTTGATCTTGTGCCTACTTACATCTAAGAAGTTTGTTTGTTTGTGAACTGACGTTATACTGTTAAATTAAAAAGCTGATAACCAGTTCTCAAATTGATTGTTATTTTTGAGGCTGATCAGTTTTTCTCAACTAGAATAGAGAAAACTGAAACATCTTAAGAAAGAATATTATTTCTATTTTGTATTCTAATGACCTATAACTTTTATTATTTGGTCTCTCACATATGCTGCATGTGTGTGCATGCAGAAATGAAGTTATTTGAAGGATAAAGTAAAAAAGGATATCTTGCATGATGCATGAGAGAAGGCGTATGATATCAGTGATATCAGTAACAGGAATCTGTCAGCAGCTTGCTGCATCACTTTAAGGAAACTGGGTTACACCCAATCTTGAAAACAGTACTATTTTGGATAAGAAATTCTGTAAATCAGGATCTTGAAATGTGCTTCTGTTGGTACAAAACCTAATCTTGGCCTTGGCACAGGAAAGGTATAAATGGATTTTTAAATCCAGCTCATTTTGGGACAGTGACTTGACATGCACGCAACTTACGGCTTCAATGAAACTGAGAAGTATTCCTTAAATACTCCCCTGAATGAAGGCTCAAAACTCCAAATTTGTTGGGAGGATTTCTCAACATTCTAGCTGAACCCTGAAGCAGAAAGGTAGTAATAACTTAGCGCTACTGAATGTGTGCTAGTGCTGGTTCTTAGTCCTTGCTTTATGTAAGCAATGCCTGAGCTGGAATGTGGCTTCAGGACTGGTTCTTGAGGGGGGGCAGCATTTCGCTGAATCCTTTGCATGGCTCCAGGCTTTTTTCGGTTGGTTGGTTTTTATAAATTTTTATCTTCCTCTTTCTACCAATTTGACCACAGAACAAATCTGCTGCACAGATCTCTATATGGCACACTTCTGTGCATGAGCACAGGAGCATGAGAAAAGAGGTTTTACATTTCTTGTCTGTATTTCAGTTAGCAGCCATATGTAAGATAAAGACCCCTGAGAAATCACAAAGGTAGGAATAAATTGTTCAGCTACAAGAATGTTTTATAATTTTATTTGGTTTGCCATATTTCTGCCATACTAATTTTATAAACCACAGTGCTATTTAATATTATGAAATTGTAGGGCTGTACTTCATATTTCCTTCTTATTACAGGTGGTAACAATATTGGCAAACATGTCTGTCTTGGACCAGTGTGCTTCAGAAATCATTTAAGGAAATGGTATGTATTTTAGCTGAATTATATTCTGTATTTGTTTGTTAAGAATGCGGGTAGACGGGGAAGTAGTGGTTACAAGGAGAAAGGCTTCACTAATAATACTTCATTTTTGCATCTTGTCTCTGCTGAATATTGCACATTGCTGCAGGGTGCGAAATGAGTCCTTGGGACGGTTATATGTAACTGAAATAAATTACCACTGCTTTAGAAAACTTTGCATGCATGACCATATTGCTAATGTTGTGTGTGTGTGTGTGTGTGTGTGTGTGTGTGTGTGTGCGTGTGTGACTTATTCATAGATACGAAGCAAGGTAGTACAGAGTGTTTCAACAGCCTTTATTCTGGTAATCGTATAAGGTGGCAATTCTTACACATTGAGAGACATCATCTGATACTGAGCCATGCATACCTGCATTTTGTGTCACTTTTTTCCCAAGTATTCATAAGTATCATAAATGTTGAAGCATTATGTTTTTATTACTCTTCAGCAGTTGCCAGTTTTTTTCCACACTTCTATAAATATCATATTATGAGAAATTCATTATGTTGAAAAAATCCTAGGTGTTACAGGCCCACCAGAAGTCTGAGAAGTTAAAGTAATAATTCTGTGGATAAGGATACAGGAACTGCCATATTAATAGACCTACCAGTAAATTCATGGCCAATTTTTTTTTTTTTTTTTTTTTTTTTGGGAGATATTAAGTTACAGTGAAGCTTCCCATGTATTGCTTTTTCTGTCCTAGGAATATCCCTTCTACACTTTTTAAATTAAGGTTTGGATAGGAATGGTTTGAGTTTGGATCCATTTGAATCTCAGACATGGCTGACTGTAGGTGGGAGAAGGAGTTTCAGAAAGCACCTACATAAAAGCAGGCCTTGAAATAGAATTGGCCAACTCCCATGTAATATTGGATTTAGATGTTTCTTGCATTTCAGTGGAAAATTTGAGCTCTGTGAACACAAATATGACTGTCAAGGATCAGGCAGAACTAATTTGGTTGATGTGATCCATGTGTGCACAGACATAGTGTGCATTTGATGTCCTTGCGAAGGTGGATGGGTGTTGCAGTTGGAGACCAAATGACAACATGTAGGTTGAATGGATCTGGATACTGAGGCGGTTATAATCACAGGTATATGCAATGTTACAAATTACCTGACTTCCCTGTCCCATGCAGAGGACAGTGCAAGGAGGGGGAGGAGCAGGGCTAGTTAGCATGGTGGTTTCTTAGATGACCTCCTGGTTGCATGGAAGCGATGGGGCAGTCCCAGTGAGAGGGTGGTCGGGTTCACGTGGCGGTTCCTGCCATGCTCCCGGTCCAAGCTCCCTGTGTTCCTGGAGGTTGAAGGGGTGGTCCTGGACTTCTTGGTGCAGGCACATGGGGCTTCCTTACCTACCCTTCTAGTCTTTTCTAGAAACGCTTGGTAAGACCCTAAGGCTTCCCAGGACCCTAGGTGTCTGTGATTGTAAGACAGGTATTTTCTACCCTGTTGGTGGTTTGTCTGTTTGACTTGCGCTGTTGTGTTCGGATTTGCTGTTTTTAGCACTCACAATCCACATATGCCCTGGAAGCTTTTGCACTCCTTTATGATTAACACATTGGCTACCCTAGAGCACACCAAAACTCATTTTGTTGCTTCGGACAGGTGTTTGTTCACATTTCATCTACTTCTACTGCAGCAGAAACTTGATTTCACGTTCATGAAGGAATACTAACAGCTATGCCAGCTAGGCCTATCTCATGCTAGATACCACAGCAGGTGAAGATATACATGTCAAGCACAATGTGATGAAGTAGAGTTTGTGTATACGCTCTGTAATGGAAGTTCACACAGAAGCATTTGCCCCAGGCTTTTGAGAAGGGTTGACTCTCACCTTGTGCATAAAGGCTTTTTGTGTCTGCCCGATGCTGTAATAATCAGGTGCTGGTCAGAAGCCAGAATCACATGCTGAGAAGGGTCTTTGAATCCTGGAGAGTTTAGATACGTTTTCTTCTCAACTTTGACTTTTTTGTATGTCAATTGATTATTATCTAGCTGCAGGATTCTGATGCTAATTCTCTTAATTATTTATGCAAATATTCTAACAGTTAAAATCCTCTGATGCTACCTGAAGTAATCTGAATACCTAATAGCTCATGGAGTCTAATAGCACATAATTGTCCTTACATTTAAAATAATCTAGAAAGTAGAAATCAGCACAATGTCATCTGTTTTTGTGCTGATACAATATCAACTCCTACAGGCAACAATAAGTTAATGAAATCATTTTGGTATGGATGATGTTGTCTTTTCTGAAGTGAAGATTAGTTGCACTGTAAACTTCAGCAGGCAGCATTCCTTCATTTCCCCTGTTAAAGGATTCTTCATCTTAAAATACCCTTAAACTGTTTGATGTAGGAATTTTAAAGGCTTGCTTAAAGATACATAAACTGAAAAAAATTAAAAGTTCTAATTTCCTGTAATTCAAAGCTAAACTTCATGTAGAGACCTGAAGTATGTCACTACAGATTTTTAGGTTAGTGATTACCTTCAGGTTAGTTTAGGAGCAAATAAAAAACTGCATTTTGTTTGACTGAAATAGATCTCTGAAATCTAAAATACCAACTTGTAGAGGTGTCAAGAAGTCGGAGGAGGGAAGAGGTAGTGCATTTTGTAGTTCCAGAAGTTCTGTAGCTTCCTAGTGAAAACAAACTTATGCTCAGACCAGATGTGCCTGAACGTCGATGGCCAAATTGCAGTCCACATTTATGCACTCTTCATGCCCTATTTGGGCAGTGATTGGTCTGTATTTACCTAGCTTGCTTTTCCCTTTACTTTTTTTTGACTGCGTTTTTTGTTGGAGAGAGGATAACAATGGCTCTTACATCCCTCTAGGTGTTCAGCTTTTAATGGAAATGCTCTTTGAAAGATCATCTTCGGGAAACTCAGCAGAAGTTGCAGCTTGTGAGCGAGTCCAACAGAAATCTGCAGTTACGCTGGCACGACTCAGCCGGGATCCTGAAGTGGCAGATGCAGCCGTAAAACTCAGCTGTAAGGATGTATCGCTAGCTTAATGGCAGCCTGAAAAAAGAGGAACTGCTAGTCATGGAGAAGCTCTTTTTAATTTTTAGCCTCACTTGGTACACTTTATGGAAAAGGTTCCCTCTACAGTCTGTCCAGAGTGACTGAGGAGGCTCTGCTAAATGAACCTCTGTCTCATTTCCCAGAGGAACCCAAGGTGCAGCGTCCACTCAACACACCGCTGTGGCACACTGTGCCAGCGGACAGTGCAGCCTCCTCCATGCCTTTATTTAAACCCTTGTGTAGTCTTTGTGTAGTCAGTGGACAGAAAAGTTGGATCCCTGCAGGTAACAGGAAGAAAAATGTTCTTTTGCTGGAGTTTGTTAATGGTCTGTGGGAGGATTGATAGGGAAGGGATGGAAGTCACAATTTCCACTCCGAAACAGCAGTGGCGGGTAAAAATAATACATTTTGTTTGTTTATGCTTTACAGCTATTAATTCTGACTGCTCTGAACTACATAGCTCCATGGACAGTCCCTTAAGTATTTGTGTATCATCTTTGCATTAGAGATCACATATAAGGAAGATAAATACAAAACATCAAAAAATATACCTCATCTCAAAATAAGGAGTTTGTTTTTCTAAATTATTTCTCTTGATATTCTTTTGTGCACTCAGGTATTCCTCGCCTAATTAAACTTTGCAGATCACCAACCGAAAGAAATAACAGTGATTCTGTTTTAGTGGCATGTCTGGTAGGTATATTTTAATCTTTCATGCTTATCCTGAAAAATGCAGAAAAAAAGAGCCCTTTAGATTTCAAAGTTCATAAGTACTGCAGGAATATTTTAAATCCATGCCAGGGTGTCCTGCTTTTCCCGTTAAGCATAATCATGTACAGTGTCAATTATTTATCCTCTGATTGAAGATTTAAACACATAAGGAAAAATGGTTTCATCTTCACGTTATTGAGCACTAAACAGTTTCACTGGAACGCTTGAGAATTTAAGGTTTCGGTAATTCTTAAATTCCATTCTATGATGATGCTCTTTGCTGAAATGAGCCTTGAATCACAGGGGTAGCTGCCCTTTATCTGCACACACACATATGTATGGAAATATTAATGTAAAGTGGCCAAAGAAAGGAAAGGAGACTTCTTGCTTCCACTACAATCCATTTTTTTTTTCTATTTGAGTCTCCGAGCCAAGGAGTGGCCAACAGAATGTTAACTTCTCCACTTTGGAGAAAGATCCCAGCTGCTGGCCCTGCACTGCATGGCCTGTGAGCCCCAGCCAGCTCTTGGGGTTGAGTACTTTCACCTAGCACTCTGTGAGAGGAAAGTGCTCTGGGGACAAGGGCAATGTAGGGTTAGGAGATAGGTTTTGGTGAATTTGGTGATTACAGCTTTGATTAACGGCTAGCTTCGTACCAGCACGTGAGAAGTTCTGTTTGTTTAAGCAGGACTCGACCAGGATGAAGAGAGTATAAATGTGAGCATAAGAAATGCTGTGGTTATTCATCATATGGGCCAAGAAGGCTTGTCAATCCTCTGTGTCTAGAGCAGAGGCCACAGAGTAATGGCAGCAAACCAGACTGTGATTTTTGTGTCTCAATGAAGATGTTGCTTCACATTCCTTGAATTCAAGCCTATCACTTGAGATGTTACCTGCCTGTCTGTCTCAGCAATTCTGCTTCTCCTGATATTTTAGTAACTCCCTGATGACACTTTCTGATAAACATGTGGCAAAAGTATTGTCCTTGAGACATAAGCTGCTTCAGGCTCTGACAGGTATTGTCACTAAAGACTGAGGGCTTGTACTCTTTGGTATGTTTAGCTTGATTGTTTAGTTTTTGTTTATTTTGAAGCAGGCAATTGGCTCCTGTGTTAGTGCTGCATTGACAAACAGCACAGAGATAAGCTGATCACAACTATCAGACCTTACTGATAGAAGACAATTTTTGTTCCTGAGGAAAGCCAGCCTGCTTTCCAGTTGCATCTGTCATGTCAGGTTGCTAGAAAGTGTGTAATTATTGTATAATTCTTCTCCAGTGAGAAAAACCAGTAACTTCTTAGAAGGGAAGAGTTTATAAAGATAATAGTAACAGTGCAATTTCTATTGGGCACTCATAATTGAAACAACAGGCAGTTTTATTTGTTCCCGAATGGTTTGAAACGTCTGGCCTCTTTCTACACTAGTATCTAAAAGATTTCTGTTATGGGCATTGCAAAAAAATTCAGTAGCAAACATCTTCTGAATCAGATGACTTACAGTTCTCATAAATAAGACAAAAACTGAGAGGAGAGTTAAGATACAAAGAGGCAGCGTGAGTTGCGCAGCAGATCAGAGATAGGTTTAGAATCAAAGTGCTCTAACTCTCACCTCTGTGTTCTTTAACACTGCACTATCCCTGCTGCTCAGATCTAAGGGTAACGTGCCCCAGAAGAATTGTCATTTAATAGCTGCATTTGAGGGGAGATTCTTCTAACAGATGTGAAGACAGTAATGACAGATTAGCCAGGTAGAAAAGTCCATTGACCTGCACGGTTTAGTTTTGAGTCTTGGCTGTTATTTAGAGATAGTTATAATGGATTCCTCCTAGGAACACCTTGTCAAAGCTTAACAGTATTAAAGTTGTGTTGTTTTGTTTTTCTAGGCAGCCTTACGGAGACTGGCAGTTATGAGTCCTGATGGGCTTGAAGATTCAGATTTTCAGCAGCTAGTAAAGCCCAGACTTGTGGATTCCTTTCTGCTATGCACAAATATGGAAGAGAGCTTTGTATAAATGTGAGCCAAAAACCTTTGAAAATTAATCAAGATGATAGGTATACGATAAGATAAAACACATACAACTTTATTTAGTTTTAGTCCTATTGTTATTTATGACTTATTTATTTTATAACCATGAACATGTGATTTGTAGGAACAATGAAATAGAATGGTCAAACTTGTTTCAGTGGTTTGAAAAGGTAATTTTTAATTTTATTTTCCTGCCAAGACACATCAACAGACCTTATCACTGCAATCAAAGAAAATGATGTTGTCATGTTTAATGTAGTTGTATCAAGGTAACGAAGCCAAGAATATGGTGCTCTGATGTTAAGTGCTTCTAATAATCTTTTATTGCTGATATTTTTCTGCAGTTAGAACATTTTGGAGCTTTTTTAAGAAATGCTTTAGTCTCATGCATTTGCTGCATTAGAAGAAAACTCAAACCTTAAAGCTACAAGTATACGCTTTGAAATGAAAGGGATGTTACAGTCTGAGTCCCGTCTTAACTGTTGTTACTTTAATAGAAATATTAAAATATGTAAATGTGAATATCTGAGAAAATTTTTCAGAAAATTTTCACTGTCTTGGAATGATCATAGAGGACACTCTTACACTGTATAAAGATGTATTCCATCAGAGCATACACACTGGCAGACAACTCTTTTATTTACACTTAGTGAAATATCCTAAAGAAATTGAGAGAATTATAGACAGATCTTTCCGAAATCAAACACGTCATCAATGTGAAGGTGTACACATAAGATTCAAAATCACTACACAATGATAATTTTCTCTCCTTTTCAAGCCTTACAAGAACTGGAAGAAAGCATGTCCAAGTGTATTTTTAATATGCAAGCTACGACTTTTGTGAAAAGTTGTGCATGCATACACCAAATAATCAGAACAGATAAATTAATTGCAACTTGATTTTCCATTTTTCTGTTTTTCTAACTAGTCCTGTATTTCTAAAACTGTGAAATGGGATTTTCAGGAGCTCTTGGAGTTGACAAAAGGAGATTTTACCAGTGGATAAAAAACATAGAGTTGATTTTAAAATAGATTTTTTAAAATGAACATTCCTCCTAAAATTTGCCTTTTCCTTTCATCCAGAAACCATATAAATTTAAAATTACTCAACCAGCAATATCTTGGCAGTGTTTTTCCTCCAAACTTCTTACAAAGTTCTCTGTAGATAAAGTATATGTATTTTTTTCCTCATGGCTTGCAACTATTGCTCTGGATCACTTTATGATCAGCAACTTTAGGGCACTAGGACATCTGCCAAAAAAGTAAGTACATTTCTTTACTGTACTTACTTTCTAGATATGTTAAGCAACTTAATTCATTAATGTTTATTTAGTATTATGTGGTGTTTAGATGACAGGCACCAGGAAATTGCTCAGTTGTGATTGCCTTCTGCATTTTCTGTGTCTGAGAAATCTGTCCTGCTTTAAGCAGTGATACATGGTGGCTAATTTTCTCCCCTTGAGTATATGGGTTAAGAAGTCTCTGCCTTAACATTTCTTCCTTGTGATCTCTTCATTTCACTCTGAGTTCTATCTCGACTGAAGTTTTAAACATTAGAAAACATACAATGACCTCTGTCATAAGCAACTACTCAAAGATAAGTGTTGAATCAGATGTTTCACAGATGTCATTTTCTAGTAAGAGCAGAGATGACTTCTGCTTTGCTTACTTTGAGACAGCTCTTCAAAATTCTGAGATTGTTAAGATATATGGTACTGTACAGCTTTAAAAATATTATACAAGTGATGGACTTTAACAGTCTCCTCACTAAGCAGAAATGCACATATGAACCATGGATGCTTTAAATGGCAAAATCAACATTCTTTGTATAAACAATGAACTCATAAATCTCATAAACGCGTGGAGTCGCCATCTCTGGAGGTAAGAGTAGGGTCACCATAGCTCTTAGGGACATGGTGTAGTTGGGAACTGTCAGTGTGAGGTTAATGGTTGGACTAGATGATCTTCAAGGTCTTTTCCAACCTAGACGATTCTGTGATTCATAAAGAACAAACTCAGTAAGGTCCTGTTGCTTTCATGCTGATAGCGTGATAATCCCTAGTAGAATACAACACATCAGATTCTGTTGTGAATGTGCTGTACCAAACCTCATTCTGTCAGCTGCAACACCAGAGATAAGAGTTTGAAGATGGGGTAGGGTTTATTCTGTGACAGGTAAGGTTAAAATCTCATCTAAAAAAAATGGCCACACACGTAAAGTGAACTGAAGTAGCTCTTAAGTAAATGCCATTATGACCCATAATGTTTTAAAGCCATCTCTAACAGGTCAAATACTCAGTGAGCAGGCCAGTAGCAACGAATGAGTCTAATTTGCTCTCAGACACAATTATGCGATTGATTTTCCTACAGATACCCTCGATCTGTAAATATATGACCATAACTCTAGGCCCATGTTGTCCATTTACATGTTCATATTGTGAATGTGGCTGTTTACATTAGAGAAGCGAAATACATGTAGGTGAATCTCATATTTGCAGTAGAAAAATATATCTTGAAAAAGCCAGGTCAAACCTGTTATCACCTAAGTGTCATCGAAACCATTTTTGCTAGGTCTGAATTTTTCACCTAAAGTTGTGCACTTTATTTTTGTATATGCTAAGGTTTATGAGAAAATAAACATACCTCTTCCTTTCCTCTTAATTAAGTTGGAAATAAAAAGTACTTAAAAAACCTGAAATATTATTTTCTCATTATTTCTGAATGAATTCTGGATTTAAAATGTTTGCTTTGGAAGTGACTTTTCAGTTTTTAAACAAACAAACAAAAAAGGAACAGTTTAAACAGAATAAATGTTTGATTTCAGTGTAGTGTGAAACAAAATACTTCATATCAAAAGATTTTCACTAAAACATGCATTTTGGCGGATCAGTCTTTGGACTCCCTGTGTATATAGATCTACAATTAGTAGAGTGAGGTAGAGAGTACGTGTAATACATTTACATATCAATTCATATATGTGGACTCATTGACCTATAGAGGCTGCATATGGGTTAGCTCTTAGCTTAATCATTCTGGAAACTGAATGTTACGTTTGTCAGAAATGTTGTTGTTTCATGTAAATTTTTAGATTTTGTATGAGATTAGAAATGTTAGACAAACGTGCGGTGAACTGCAGGGTTCTTTGTAACTTTGATTTTCATTCCAGTGACTTTGGACAATGTGTTCAAATTTGAGCTTTAGTTTGAACTGTTTACAGACGTTAGGGGCCCAGATGTTTCATTTGTAGAATAAATTTTTTTTCCTCAGTTTATTGTGCGTTTGATACATGAATCTTTTTTGTGGAATGTTACTTCTCTGATCTGTTTAAAATAATATTTGTATCTACAAGGGATAAGATAATGTTGTGGTAAACTGGACGTCTTATCTATTTTTTAGGCTTACCCTTTAGTATCCAAAGATGGGACTTGGTCTATGCGGTGTCTCATTGCCTTAGTACAGGACTGATTCTGGTATCACATATGGCTTGTTCCAAATATGTATATATATCTCCTTTTAAATAATAGCAACAAACCATTAAAATAACACTGGCTTTTGCATTTTGAGAAATCTGCTTCGATTATCAGTTTAAATTTACATTAAACTTAATGTATTTAAAGTAACACTCTAGACACTGTAAATTATTCACTAGTGTTCTCGTTTTTAAGAGGAGAAAGGGAAGATGGCACTGAGCATTAAGATAGGTCTAGAGTGAATTGTTCATTGGAGTTAGAAGTGCTTAGCTGATGGGGAGGTGGATGAATAGTTTCAGCTCTTGACAGGCTAAAGAACTAGGAACAAGGAAAACACAGCGACATCTATTTTAGATACTTACACGCTTTGCAGAAATCCTTATCTCTACTTTCTATTTTGCTCTAGGGTCTGAGTTTTTCTTTCTCTAGCTGTGACAAACCTCTACCTCTTGGGAGTGTTATTTGTATGTTTGCTATTTATCTGAATAGAAGAGAGTTAAATTCCAAGGTCTGGTCCTGCTAATTGGTATATTTATAAGGTTTTTGCTGAGTAACTAAGTAACAAAAATAGCTTGTTGAATAAATACACTCTAGATCACCTAGAACAGAAAGAAACATTTATTATTCCCACAATAGGAAGAAGAACCATCATATTCTCCAGAAAATTTGAGAGAAAATGTATGTATAATAGTCTGCTCCCAGGTATTGGTACTTTTACAAGCAGACTTGCTAAGAGTTTACGAATTGATCAGTCCCCTGCCAAATAATCACTCGAAGTAATAAAGGAAAATAACTAGGCCTACAGACAAAACACTGAGAAATCAAAGATTTTTCTCTTTCCTTTTCAACAGCCAATCAGTGACTTTTTGTTTTAATAATTCAAGTGTGTCTAGAACCCAGCGGACCCTATGGGAAACCAGTGCAAAAGAAAAAGTGTAGTAGGTAATGCTGCTAATTTGCTTTACAGGGAAATTAAAAGGGATCAAATGGCATGAAGAAGGAGGCGTGTCTGAAGTGGTACCTTTTCTATCACTGTTGTGATCAACTGTGTCACAAATGTCTAACTGAAAGGTACACTGCTTGTACCATTTTCTTCAAGCTGTCTGGATATTATCATTGTCTTTTAACTAGCGTTTGTCCATATCCTCCACAGCCTTTAGAATGTGACCTAACAATGCCCATGTCTTCAAAGTAACTTACTGATTTGGGTGTATATAAAGATTCAGTTCGATTTTATTTTTATTTTTTTTTAATACCACGTAATGCAAAAATCTTCTTTTTGAGTAGTTCTGTAAGGATGTATCTAGCAAGATACATCTGTTATGTATGCTCATCAGGTAAGGCAAAGTTTATGATAAATCGAGAAGATATATCTAAAAAAGGATCGAGAAACAACCATGTGTGTTTTCATTTGCATCAAAAGAATAATTATGGAATAGGCCCAAATCATCTGGGGAAGCCTTCACTGAAGCTATGGTAAATCAGCGTGCCTGCACTGCAGTCAAGAAGAGCCAGAGCCAACCCTCTGGTTTCAAGATTTTTGCTAGAATTAGAACTGTAGAGATCTAACACATAAAATAATAAAATCTCACAATATGAAGCTAAGGATAAATGACTTGTAAAATTTTGCAGTTAAACACAAACGTTTAAGGAGTATGCTTTGTAGGTTAAGCAGCATGCTTGTTTACATGTGCTTGCTTCCACTTCTAAAGCAAGATACTCTGTCACGGCTATTTACTTTTGTACTGTTTAACTATTGAAAGGGCCACACTTTTTTTTCAGAGCAACAATTATTTAAATACTTTAGCCCATCTTTAGGGATGGATAAACAAAGAAGAAATTAAATAGTGTGAAGCACAGCTGATCATTTACATGAGTGTCTCATCCTTAAAAGGACACAAATTTTCTGTAATCAGACAGAGTAGTTATTGGTTTACAGTATCTGCAGTAGAAGAAATCTATCACGTGCTTTACTCTAGGGGGAAATTCTCATCTGTTTTGAAGTCCAATTCTGTAAGTACAGTCCAGACCAGCCTTCTGTAGACAATAGAAAGAAGTGGACAATTCTTTTTTTTGAGGATGACTGCCTAAGACAGAGAGTATACATGGAACTGCATGGAACTGCCTTTTTTTTTTTTTTTTTTTTTTTTTTTTCTCCCCCAGTGGCTATGGAAAAAGGTGCTGATGATTTGTTTGGAGGAGATGTCTCAACACCTCAGCATCTCAATGTTAGTTCAGAACGTGCGAGATGAATTCCAGTCTCAGTCTGGAGACAAAAGGAAGGCACTTTTTCAGCTGGGGTTTCATGTGCTGTTTACACATCAAATACAATTCCCATCAAAGCAGAAATTTTTGCAACACCAGACTCTCCCCTTGAAATGACTAAGTTAGACATTATTTTCTTGTTTGGTATGCACTAGATGATGACTCCTGGTTGCCAGGGTTGTAAAAGAAGGAATAGCTGGACCATCTCATTCAGCTCAAAATATTATACTGGATTATACATTTCTTATTAGAGAAAAATCTGTTTGCATTTAAAGAGAGGGAGAAAGAAAATGGGTCACAGGACACTAACTCTGAATGGTTTCCCAAGTGAGCTATTCTGGACAATATATGAAATACCATTGAGATAATAAATGGCATTGCACATGTCAGGAAAGCTACTACGCACCGGAAAACAGACACCCTCCCAAACCCAGTATCCTTTCTTTCTCAAAAAGTAATAAACTGAGCTCCAAGGAGAAGAAATTCCTCTTACATTTCCAACTTTGTTTTAGGATGGTCTTGTACTGTTGTTATTTTGTCTTTACCTGTCAAGTTGTCTTCTTTTTAGTTGTCATCTTTTACTTGTATTAAAGATCTCATGATAGTTAGTTACATTCATAATTTTTTTTTTCCGTGAATGTTTAGCTGTAAATGTGCTATTACATAAATAAGATATGCAAAATTGAGAAATGGATGGTGAACAGATACAGAGCTGAGACTTGAAAAACTTGAAGCGATTTCTCTTGAGAAATGCATTCCTGCATTAAAAACATATTAAAACAAGGGTTTGATAGAACAGCTTCTTAATGAAGTAGATAACGGAAAAACTGTGTGAGGATGTTCCTCTTCAAAGTCATGAAAAACTGTGTTATGGTTAGAGACAAATCTGAAAATTCCAGCTCTTATAGACTCCAGAGAACTTTAGAAACAGTGTATTTTGGAGTTCTCCGGTTAGCTGTTTGAGCCAATGAGGCGAGACTTTTTAAAATTAATACCACAAGATAAATATAGGTGCTTAAAATCAATATCCATTGATGTGTCATCTCACAGACACCATCACTTTACAGCAGGCCAGAGATACAAAAGCCCTTGGATATACTTTTGCCGGACTGCAATAACTTTCTTTACCCCTTTTTTCCCTCCTATGATTAGGGGAAAGAATAGAGGCAACATTTCCATAGCTATAAGAGGACTTTGTCAACATTTGTATTCTGTTTG